TACATACCTACATACATACCTACATACATACCTACATACATACCTACATACATACCTACATACATACCTACATACATACCTACATACATACCTACATACATACCTACATACATACCTACATACCTACATACCTACATACCTACATACCTACATACCTACATACCTACATACCTACATACCTATTTACCTACATACCTACATACCTACATACCTACATACCTACATACCTACATACCTACATACCTACATACCTACATACCTACATACCTACATACATACATACATACATACATACATACATACATGCCTCCATGCCTGCGTGCGTGCGTACGTATGTACGTACGTACGTACGTACGTACGGACACATACATGCCTATGTACGTACGTACATGCTTGCATGCATACATGCATGCATGCAAACAGGCACACACACACATATATATATATTATTTTTATGTCAAAATCTCACAGAGTGGTACGTTAGGGGGAACAACCCAATGTGTTGCAGCGAAAACGTGCGATGTGACCAGGAACTGCATTTGTCGCACAATCTCTTCACAGCAGATGGTGTGAAATGCCTCGTAGCGGCTGGAGAAGCCTGGATGAAGCACTTGGTTCCAGAAATGGAGGAGTCACCCCAATTGATGACCGTTTTAATGGGGCGGCTTTATTTTCAAGGTTAAAGATCTACCAACGTGACAGGGAAGTTGAACCCAAGCAGTCCGCAGTGAATGGAATCCCCACCCTTGTGTACAGCGAAATGCTGGGTACAAAGATTCTCCACCGTCACCAGCAATCTCAGCCACCAAGGAAACTTTCGCCTCTGACGACAAGTCACAACCACTCTGGTTGAGACTAGGCCCTGCATTGCTGAATGACTGCAGACTCTGGATTTGGGTTTGTCCCTTTTCCTGATTGAACATATTGAACCCCCACATATCCATTCAAAAATGTCCATGTGCCAAGGGAAATCACCGGTGACCAGTCTCCAATTTCGGGACACATGACATATTCATCTGAGGGCGTCCTGCGAGGCATCGCCCTGTTTACCACCCAGGATTATTCAAAGTTTGCTGTGCCTCCCACCGAATTTTCCAAATCTATGAGGTACAGGTCAGAAGAGAATCCTACTCAGTGATTAGGAGCGAGCTGTTCGGAGCTATGGTTGTATCCATATTCCCAACAATAGCCATCTGGTCCCAGTTGCAGCTACGAATTGACCTTCCCAACCAGATGCTAGTCATCACTAACTACTAACCATCTTTTTGTGGGTATATTAAATCTTTTTGCGGGTATATTAAATTATATACCCATAATCTCCCCATTACAACCCATCGTATCCCAACCAGGATTTTCCACATTTTCTTCTGCCATGCTCCAGAACAAAACAGCGTGGAGAATCCGGAGATGGTCATCGATGAGCTGGAAGAGGAGTTTAGCGTCCCGGGCCCCTGGCATTTTCCAGGCATTTTCCATGGACAGTATTAGAAAAGGATGGTCTACAAAAGAGCAAGAGAATCCGGTAGTCACTTGGGTATGGATCAATACCTATTGATACCATTTTTAATGGGATGAACATCCATTTACCAGCTATTTTGATGTGAACTACAGGGGTACTATTGGTTTTGACACACTGCCACTTGTCTTCTTTGCCAATTCTTTCGGGAGTCAAGTGATGGTGAGGTCTGCAGACGTTCTGATAGTGTGAGATGTACAGTCCGCACTTGTGTGAACAAGAAGAAGGCCATTTGGTGCCGCGGGCGCCGGGAATAAAAACACTCCAGATCGATGTACTTAACCAACCATGTCACTGAGAATGTCGAGCATGGAAGTGCATATTGAGGGTGCTGTTCCAGAGAACTTAACGGATATATAACCATAGTTACAGGGGTTATATGTATATATGTATATGTAAATATCACAACTGTTTTCCTTGGTTATATTAAGAAAATCCGACTGCGACCCCAAATAGGATGAACCAATCGAATCGGCCCATTGGAACTTGTCCCACGCGCTCGGCTCAAAAGGTGCACCTTCCTTTCTTCCACCTGCAACGGCAGCCACTTCGTTTCAAATCGAGAGCTGAACTGGCAGCTGAGGTGGAAGCGAGAAATGGGCACAGCCACAATGGGCACCGCAATAAGTTTTAACATCAATTGGATTGGAACGTGTTGGAACGGAGGGAAGGGTTTTGCCTTGGATTAAACTGGAGTATAGCTGGAGTTGCTGGGCATCATTCATGAGTTGTTGAAAATTGTTGTGATGACAACACGACGCATCTGCTGTGACTGCCACTGGAAGTGAAGTGAACGATGTGAATGTCCTTTGAAAATTGGGTAACCTGCTTGTGAACAGGGTAAGAATCCTGGGATGCGCATGCCGGTATAGGAAGACAGAACTGCTACGCGTTCCCTGTGAAGGCAAAAGCCAAGCAAGGTCCGCCGGTGTGAAGCCAAGCAGAAATGAAGCATATGGCATATGACGGTCGGGTCAAGTCCTTGGGTATCCCCAATTGGGCTGGTTTGACTATGGTTTCCTATTGTTTGCTCGGAGGATGTGTTGCTTTGCGTCACTTCGAAATTTGCATACTTTCACCATGCCACTTCGGTGGAGTCTCTTGCACATGTTGGGTCACGGCTCAGCAACATGAAACCTTGGAGGGAACACAAGTTCGTTCAATGCAGGTTCTTGTGGGTGCCCCCAAATTCTGGTGAGATCTTATGGTAGGAAGGGGGAAAACTTCCTGCTGGATGGCTCAGTATCAAAAACAATACATTTTGACCCAACAGCCACTTGACTACAGAGAATCCTATACGCAAGAATGGACAAGGTGTTGTGGCATGTGGTCCAGCTGTGAATTTCCGCCATGCCGCCATACCTTTTTCACCCACTGTATGCCCTCCCAGAATTGGCCTGATGGAAAATATACAGGAACCCCATTGATTTCCTGGGAAAAACATATGGTTTCCATGAAGCCAATGATACCCCCTGACATTCCCTAATTTGTTGCCCATGTCCGGTCCTAAAATTTGGCAACTCCGAGGTTCCAACTCGTTCAATCTCACGACCCGAAGCAGGAGCACCAAAGGCAATGGCTCCCAGGATTGGATCATGGTGCAGGACAGCCCTTTTTTTTGGTGCTGTAAAGACCTATGGTTTCCTGTGGAAAGTTCCCTGAAGCCAATCCATTGATATCCTCTTTGGTGGTGAATTAAAATCCCCCAGAAAAAATCCCACGAAGTCCTCTTAGATCCCTTAAAATCCCAGTGAAATCGCTAAACAATTGGTGATTTCCCTCGACTGGACGAGGCAGCGAAGCCTTGCGCCTGGGGGCAAGGTGAGGAAGGGCTCAGCCCGGCCGCAAATCAGGGCCAGGTAGACGCGTCAAATCCTACTGCAAACATATAGTGATGACTCACTTTTGTTGTCTTTTTGGTTACTGTACTATATACTATACAACGGGAAACTGATGGAAGTATATAATATATGTATATAACAGTATACTATTCTTTTTTCCCACAGTAGTATGGTAGGAAAACGATGATCATCGTGGCTGACAGGTAGAGACAATGGCAGTCCCGTGTCACAGATGTCGTCTGGGTATCCCACAGCGGGTGCTAAAAACCCAGAGGCACGTGACCTCGGGCCGTGGGACCACCGAAATGTGCTGGACGATGCAGTTAGGACACGCTGGTCCGAGATGGAAAACTAGGGAAGACGCAAAGACTCACATGGCTTAACCGGCTTAACCGGCTTCACCTGGACTAGACGGGCCTCAGACCATGGTCCATCCCTCCGTTGGTAGGCCAAGACTCTGCCCGCCAGGGTTCCCAGACGGTCGTGCTGCCGTAAGTGCAGTGCATGTACAGCGCTTTTGTATGGCCATGTATTGCGTTTGGATCATCTACCAGCCTTTTGGTCGAGCGACATAATCATGGTTTCTGTCCATGAGGGTCTCCCAATTGGATGGTTTCGCGGGGTTTCGTACTAAAAACATCTAAGCTATTCCAAAATCTGAAAACCAAAAAACTGGTGGGTCGCATGTTTGACCCATACCACTGAATTCAGCGGTCAGACATGCGGCAATTCCATCTGGCTGAGGAGAAACCTGAGGCACCCATGAAGCCAGTTTGGAAGGCGCACCTCTGCATCCGCTTGGCATGAGCATGTTATCCCCCAATTGAAGGAAACCTCGATAGTTTTGGATCGTTTTGGATAGTTTTAGCGGGTTGGTATCCCCAAAATTTTCGGATCCAGATAGAGATGCAGAATTTCCGTTCAACAGCAAGCTTCAGACGAGTGATCTGCCAATGTGAGGCGGGAAGCCGACCGTCCGTGGTTTTGGACAGCTTTGGGTTGTGACCTCAGAGAATTCGAGGGAACAAACATCTGCAGGTGTTGAAATAAGAAGTACAGAGGGAGTTTGAATCGCATTCACAATCTGTGGTTTTCCAGTTTTTCGAAGAACCACAGGACAGATTTGATTCCACTCAAGTGCCTTTGCACGAATCTATACGAATCTGCTAGCTTTTTTCTCCCCAAGCAAGCACAGTTCGACTGGAGCTTCACCTCGTATCCTAGGGGACCTCGATCTGTGACATGACATGACCATCATGACCATGACCATCATGACACGACCACCATTTGGTTCCAGGCAACGGCGTACGATGCCGGATCAGTTGAATGGGGCGTGCAGCCCAGCCATGGATCCGTCATCTGCCGCAGTGCCATGTTTTGGTCATCCATTTGCTCCGAAAGGCCAAGCTTCCGTCCTTTGAACATGGATTTGGGGATTGTTCAAACATGGGGTACCATGGACCTAGACAATTTCTCAATGTTCAGCTTAAACTTGTGAAACTAGCTCATTTTCGCGTGCCAAGGTCGATCCAACCCCCTTTGTTTGCTCCTTGTGCCACTTTGTGATGATCAAGCTGCTTGATCAACACGGGGGTCATGGATCACGATGATCAAGGCATCAGGGCCACCCGAATTGTGAAACTTGTGGAACTTCTTCGAGTGATGACCCATCTATGAATCAATACCTCTATGCAGACTGCTCTAGTACACTTGTTGATATTATGTATATTTTAAATATACATGAGTTTAGTATTGGACAGCATCAAATATTCCTCGGAAGAAAAGGCTTCTGCAGCGACCATATGTATGTTTTTCAAAGGCCAACGGCCAAAGCCCCTGATTTACGTTTATTAGATGTACATTACGTAGATTTTTATCCATATATTCACCCCGCTTCGCGTGGGGTGGCCGCCCACACCGCAGGTTTATTTCGGTCCGTGAGAGGGGCTAAGGGTGGTTTTCCCCCGTGGGGGCTCCCCAAGCTAGGGAATTTTCACTTTTCCCCCCCGTGGGGGCTCCCCAAGCTAGGGAATTTTCCACTTTTCCCCCCGTGGGGGCTCCCCAAGCTAGGGAATTTTCACTTTTCCCCCCCGTGGGGGCTCCCCAAGCTAGGGAATTTTCACTTTTCCCCCCCGTGGGGGCTTCCCAAGCTAGGGAATTTTCACTTTTCCCCCCCGTGGGGGCTCCCCAAGCTAGGGAATTTTCACTTTTCCCCCCCCGTGGGGGCTCCCCAAGCTAGGGAATTTTCACTTTTCCCCCCCGTGGGGGCTCCCCAAGCTAGGGAATTTTCACTTTTCCCCCCCGTGGGGGCTCCCCAAGCTAGGGAATTTAATTTTCACTTTTCCCCGCCGTGACAGCTTCCCAAGCTATGGAATTTTCACTTTTCCCTCCTTGGAGGCTCTCCAAGCTGCGGAATTTCAAATAGCTAGACAACGACGCCTAGATAGTCCCCCAAATCCCGTGTTCTTTGAATGTGTTTCCATGTTTTTGCAATGGTTTCCTTCAAAGCACGGTACTTTACACTTTTGTCGCCATAAAACCGGTCGAAAACATCATGTTCGACAATGCTTCCAATTCCCTTATCTCCCCGACCGTTGAAAATACCGCTATTTACAGTGTTTTCTTCAATTTTTCCATGTTGCAATGCCGGTAGCCAACTCCAACATATATATAAGAAATCCTTCCAAAACATTGTTTTTGACAGTGTTTTTCCAATGTTTCCAGTCAAACAGACGGTAATTTACACGTTTTTTGCCATAAAGGCAGTAAATCCTTCCAAAACATTCCTTTTGACAGTGTTTTTGTAATGTTTCCATTCAAGCATACGGTAATTTACACGTTTTTTGCTATAACGTCAGTCCAAAACACTTGTTTTTGCAGTGTTTTCAATGCTCTGGCATCCAAAAACCCTGCAAAATCTTGCTATGTACAATGTTTTTTTTCATTTTTGGCCGTTTTTCCATTGCCGGAAAGCTACCAAAATGATCCCAAATTCCATTTCAATACCCTCTTGCGCTCAGACACCCAAAAATCCTCGAAAAATGTCGAAAACACCACCGTATTCTGGTCTCGGTGCGAAACCGTTTTTGCCCCCCCCCCCCAGCTAAAGCTGATATAGCGACTGCTATATTAACAAATGTCATTGAGCATTTAGTGTTGCTGTTTTGCCCCCCAATAAGCACGCCTTCACCGCCAAAGCGGTGTGGGCGGATTTGTAACCTTTCAATTGCGGATATGCTATGATTTCCACATTCTTAGCCGCTCTGTTGATTAGATTGCCAGTGGCATTGGTGGCGGTTCACCACTGGGAACCTGCTGAAGCTACAGACCCATCGGAGCAGTGCCACAGAATGGTCGGTTGATATAGAATATGGAAAGTCTGGGTTCATGGATTAGGAAAATCCCCAAATATCCCCAATATACAAAGGACAGGTCAACAAGCCAACAAAAAAACGAATCAACCATCATCAACCAGGACTTTTTTTCCTCTTCAAACCGGTGACAGAAAATGCTGCCATCAGCTGCGCAGCCAAGGCCTTTGATCACACGATGCTCGCACATTTTTTGCTCGTGCTGCTTTAGGCAATGGGTGCAACAGGAGGCCCGGACGCGATTGGACGCGGCTCGGGGGCAGAGCTGGAAGGATTTTGACTGATGTGGAAAAAACTGGGTGTTTTTCCACTGGCCCAACTTCTTTTGTACTTAGGATTCTACCTGTTTTTTTTAGCTCCTTGGCAACATGACCATGTCAAGTCCAGGCATGTCGAAGCACGTTGAAGCTTCGCCGATCAGGTCGAACTGCACAAGAGTCAGAATAAGACGAACGGCGCACCTCCTGTAGCGGTGCCAAGCTCAGTCACAGACAGTTTTTTTTCCTGAAATCATGGGTTTTTTGATGGTTACTGTAAACATGGTGAATCATCGATAGAAATGGGAATATGGAGCTGAAAAATAGATATGGTTTTCACATGTTTTCACATGTTTTCACGTTCGCTATCATCGCTTTCTTGCTGGTAATAGGTTCCTTGTCTCAGCAGCTCAAACTCTGTATTGCAAAGATTATGGATTGGGAGAGGATGCCCTTGAAACTGCTTGCATGTGTACTGTACTGACATGCACCCGAGTAGTTTCCGGATCAGAAACTATCGAGTCGAATCAGTGTCACTGGAAGCAACATCCAAACGTTCGGATCAGCGTCGCAGAATCAGAAGACGATCCTGGATCAACATCGTGTATAAATGATATAAATGGTCGGGATGGTCGGGATGGTGGTTTCTGTTAGGTTTCTTTTAGGGGTTCTTTTGGGGTTTCTTTAGGGACTGTCGGATGGTCGGGATGGTCGGGACGGTCGGGTTAGCCCGTGTATACCGTCTCGATCCAAACCGTCGCGATCCAACCAATGTAGATTCCGATCCAACGACCCCGATCCAACCAACACCCACATGCGCCCATGTACATATTATACCGTACAGGTGTACGTTTTTACACAACAAGTCATTCTTGAAGTCAGGGTGAGCCAAGAAAATATGTTCAAGTATTTTTTCTTGTCCCTTTGCATAAAGGCGTAATCATAAACGCGCACTTATAGGAGGTCTGGCATCGATGCATAGCATCCTGGAAAGTGAAGGAAATTGGGGACGTGTAGCCTGGGATTATCCTGGGATTATCCTGGGATTATCCTGGCATTATCCCCTAGAATTCATATACATTACTAATCATTACTATTTAGATTTGGATAGCCTGAAATTATCCCCACTCGGCCCCCACCGAGGCCAACCCCACCATCCAAGGGCCCCCCCTCCAGGGGCCCCGGATCTCTGTGAGGTGCCACAAATCAGATGTCCTCAAAGGGGCTGCGACCAGTTCCTGAAGAAGACGGATGCAGCCCCGGCACGTTTGAAGGGTCCGACGCCGTCAAGCCCTGCGGGTCGTCTCAATCTGCAAGTCCAAGGATTTTGACAGCACACCTTTGCTGTTTTGCTGTTCATAGCTGGGAGAAATGAAGTAGGATGACCAAATAATATCAAATAATTACAGAGAACGTGTCTACTTTCCCACAATTGGTTTACGGGTAACTTTGCCAGAAAACTCCTATTTGATGAGAAACAACAGGGTTTCCTATAGATTTTCCATTCAACTTGTCCAGTGAACTTGCAGGTCGAGCCCGCTGTAGCTGCCTTAGTTTTTATTGAGAGCATTGACTTTTTGGAGAAAATATTTTGAAGGTCAATTTAGATGGTTTTTGATTTTTGAAGTTGCTTTCAACTGCCACTATGGCATCTATCTATGGTGTCCAAGCACCTGCAAGGGTGTTAACGAGGAGGGTAACAGGTTGGCCTCTCTAATCCGGACCCCATGATTCTTTAGAGAACCATGTGGCCTGTTCGGAGGTGACATGTTGGTCGTTTATTGTGGGTCCCATTTTTGGGGCAATGGACTGTCCAAATCAGCGAACTACAACGAATCCCTGTTGGTCATCATAGGGGTCTATTGCAATAGCAATATGAACTAACCAACCATTATGATGGAATGGATAGGGGTATTTTTCATGGCTCATATGATGTTCATGTTCTGGCACAGAGTATGATGATGTAGTAGTACTAACAATGTGGTATCACTTGACGTGACTTGACATATTCTGGTATTGTGCGATGTTGCGCACGGATCTGCCAACAAACCAAACAGTCACAACAAAATAGAACAAAGCCTGCAGACATACAGATGTACGGAGAATACCCACACACTTATCATCACTTGTCTACGTAATGTGCATGGTGACATGATTAAACTCTTTGATATGTTCAAAAACTGTTTACCTCCATATCCTTACATGACTTTGCATCGTGGTACATTCCCTCACGTTACATTCAATTACATGTCTTTGTCAAGCTGTGCACACACGCATGCAAACCTAGATACACAATGATACACATACAAGAAAACATCCATGCATTATGCAACTCTACTATCCATGCGTCGGTCCATCCATCCCTCCACCCAGAAAATCCACCCCCCATTCCATTCGTGCTGCCGGTGGCAGCTGAGGATGATGGAAAGACCAGCGGCGTCCAGTTGTTCCAACGGCTCCGCAATAATCTTATTATTCGCTGTGTGCATCATCTGGATCATCACAAGCCCTTGCCTTGGTATGGTCCCATCTGCTGTTGAATTTCAGGCTTTAAGCGGACCAATGACCGTTTTTTATGGGTCAAAATAGGCAATTGCTGCCAGAATGCTGGCCAACAATTACAGTACGGTTCTTTGGGACGGTTTGAGATGGTTGAGTTTTCTTGATATTGGGTCCTTAAGGTTCGAATTTGGCCAAGATGCCAGCCGCCTCTTAGAGAAAGGTGGGCAGGGACATCAAAGGGCTTGGGTATATCTTTGGCGATTGGGGGAATGTGGTCATCCGGCCATCCGCCAGCTGAGGGTTTGAATTTCTGTACGGTTTGAATTTCTGTACTGGAATCCATCGTTTCACCAGGCCACATCCAGGTTTCAACAGCCGTCGTTTGCGCAAGGTCCGCAAGGTTCATGGAACCGTATTCACTTCGTCATTGGGCTTTAGTCATCCTCCCATGATCTCCCATGAATAATTATCATTAATATATATATATATTAATATCCATTTGTCGGTCGTTGTATGGTGTGGCAGACAAGGCTCAAGTATTGTACAGGTTTTTTTATTGCAAACCTGCCCGAGAAAGCGGAGCTCGCTCCCTCGGGTGCTTGGTCCTGCCGAGAAGTGGCGTGGGCTCGCTTGGCACCAGATCCGAGCCCACGACGACGGCCGCGGTCGCAGACGTCGACCGTTTTGGGACCTGCGCTGTGCCCAGCTTTAGGGTGCACGGAATACCAGTTGTGTAGCTGATGTTGGGCATGATAGTGATATTGCAGCTATTACTCCTGCATCAATGTGAGGCAGTTGTATATCTCCTGACAGATTCCTGGATTTGCTGACGTTTGTTTGACAAATCCAATTGGTTAGTCCACAAATGGGGAATGTATGGGGAATCAATGGGAATCATATTGTCATTGTCTACATTTCTTTTTTACCATCTGGTTATTTAACATAGCCATGGAAAATCACCATTTTTAATAGGTAAACCCAGGTAAACCATCTATAAATGGGCCATTTTCTATGGCTACTAGTATGTTAAATAACCAGATGGTAAATCCTAAATCGGGGCCAAAATCTAAGGATTTAAAGATGCCCAGGGGCATTGCACTGGATCTGACGGAAGGGCGGATGTATTGGGCTGAAGATGGCACCAAGATGATCCGCAGCGCCACCCTGGATGGAGATGATCTCAGAGATGTCATTGAAAAAAAAGAGGCGGGATGGGACATGGGACACCCAGGCTGGCCCATATAACTTATATAACTCCTGTAGAACATGTGTATTGTATATATACGTATATATATATATATACATATACGTGTATATATATATACGTGTATATATATATAATTATTTAACTATAGGATATAGTCATCCTTGAATAGATAGAATATGGAAATTTCAATACATCCCCACTAAAATGTGAATATTTTGGAACAATCCCCATATTCTATCTACTTCAGGATGATTATATATACAGTATACACACGCTGTATGTATATACATACATATATGATATGCATACTGCAAATTACATGTATAAAACTGTATGTATGTATACAACACATACATACATGTTATACATATGCACATATGTATGACAAATAAATCGTTGCGCTCCTTTCGGGATAGATCTGATGAGTTGTGCATTGGCACAACTCATCTCTGGTGAGGTTCAAGAAGCACCAAGAGATGTGGCGATAGATCCAATCAATCAGAAGATCTACTGGACAGCTCTGTGCTGTGGTATACGCAGAGCTGATCTCAATGGTACGAATGAGGAGGTGCCAAGATGGGTCAAAGGTCCATACTTTTTTTTTTGTGGATATCAGTTCTTTTTGATTTAGCTTGCGTTAGCCAGTTGTTGTTGAGAGGTTAAGGAGGGATTTCAAAAGAACGCCTGGAGCGGCCATACTCAAAGCTGGAGTTATTTAGATTGTCACCAAATCCATTTGGACTGTACTTGGAATTCCGCCGCATCAGGTTGTGGCAAAAGCAGAGTTTGCCAGTGGAGTAGCAGTTCTCAACGAACAGGTTTACTGGGCAGACTGGATGCGAGGACAGATCCTCCGCCACAACGTGAAAACTGGAAGAGAGGACGCGATTGTCACAGGCTTGGCATCGCCTGTAGACGTTGCTCTCGGTAGCCACCAGATCTATTGGTCCGATGTCGGCGTGGGTCGAACACAGCGGGCCTCCTTAGATGGTGGTGATGTTCAGTGACTTCTCAATGGATCAATAGCAAGCTTTTCGCAAGATGTGCTTCATACATCTTCATACATCTTCATAGTGCATACATATTCTAATATGGGGATGGGTCAAAACCAATAGTACCCCTGTAGTTCACATCAAAATAGCTGGGATTTATGGATGTTCATAACCCACTAAAAATGGTATTAATAGGTATTGATCCATACCCATATGGCTTTGTCCGGTTTGTCCTGTGGGGCATACCCCTCAAAATTGTTAAGACAACAAACTGCTGAGAACCACCACATTCTGGGGGAAACCTTCCCAGCTGGGCCAAGCTCTGTAGGTTCTTGAACATGAGCTGGTTGGTCATGAACACCTATGGCATGGCAGTAGATTCTGACCTGGGAAAGTTGTACATGGCAGATTTTGAGAAGACGGGCAAGTTCACAGGGAAAAGCACTGACTACACTGGCCGCATCCGGCGGGCCAACTTAGATGGAAGCGATGCCGAGGTGCGAAAAAACTCAAGATGCTTCTCAATGGCTATTTACTGTACATATCTGTACATGTACAAGTTCAATTCTGCATGATTCTACATGTAGGTGTGTTTGCTTGTCAATGTTTAAGTGCGTATGGTATTTTGTACATACCATGTAGATGGGCATAAATCACACCGGTCTGGATATGTGTGAGTTGCTAACATGAAACGGCTGTGAACGAAATCATTTGTGTTCACTCAGCCGTGCTGCCCACGTTTTGTGGCCTTGTTTGGATGGCCCTGAGATATTGGCAATGCGACTACTTGTGCAACCTCAAGTGGGCCGCCAAAGATCAATCACTAGTACTGTGGTCAGTTTTGAATAAAATAGGTTGCAAAACTCGGGTTCAAAACACCAAGCAGGTAGCTCCAAACCCAAGCCCAGTGCCCAGACGCACGAGGTGCAGGCAGCACAGCGACAGTCGCCTTGTCAGGACTGCATACCTGCTGCATACCTGCTGCTGCCTGCTGCTGCCTGCTGCTGCCTGCTGCTGCCTGCTGCTGCCTGCTGCTGCCTGCTGCTGCCTGCTGCCTGCTGCTGCCTGCTGCTGCCTGCTGCTGCCTGCTGCTCCCTGCTGCTGCCTGCTGCTGGTGCTGCTGCAATCAAGCAGCTTCCAAAGCAAGAAACAAACAGCCAGACACCCTTTTCGAAACACATCCGAAACAGCAAAACACCACCTAATTTCGTGCCCAAAACATAGCAAAGGAAGCCCAAAAAAGGGCTTAACGTCACTTCTGAAACCCTACTATAAAATTGAAACTTTGCCGCTGCTACTGCCACTGCCGCTGCTCTGCTGCCTGCTGCTGCCTGCTGCTGCCTGCCGCTGCCTGCTCCTGCGTGCTGCGTGCTGCTGGCTGGTGCTGGCTGGTGCTGGCTGGTGCTGGCTGCTGCTGGCTGCTGCTGGCTGCTGCTGGCTGCTGCCTGCCGCTGCCTGCTGCTGCCTGCTGCTGCCTGCTGCTGCCTGCTGCCTGCTGCTGCCTGCTGCCTGCTGCTGGCTGCTGCCTGCTGCTGCCTGTTGCTGCTGCTGCTGGCTTCAAAAAAACTCTCTGCCCTGACACGCTCCCCCTTGCCGTCGGCCGGGGTCGGCGGATTTGACTTCTGCTGGTCTGCCATGCTGCTAAACTTGCTTGTCTTATTCCCTGGCGCGCTCCTCCTTGCGTCTGCCGGGGTCGGCGGATATACATACATACAATATAGTATACACATATGGATAGATACTGAATATAATGTGGGTAAAACAATAATGAACCACCCATTTGGGAATGGGGTTTATACCACCTATTTATGGTGATTTTGGGGATGGTTTATTATTGTCTTAACCACATTATATATATACTTATACATATATATTTGGCAGGTCTTAGTGAGCGAGCCTGGAATGAGCATGCCGTATGGTGTCGCAGTGGATGCCGAAAGGAATCAGGTCTACTGGACCGATCGCAAGGCAGGACGCATTCAGCGCCTCACTTTGGTGTGCCAAAGGGGTGTTCAGGACCTGGGCAAGGGGGTCGGCTAAGCCCACACCTTTTGATTCATATCCAGTGTCTATTTCATGATTTTTCTATCATTTTGTATAGATTTCTTTAGTTTTATCTACAATTGTATTTACTCCTACTTATTTGTACTTCCTCCGGTCATGAAACATTGCAGTGGAAAACTCGCCCTTAAACGCGCTAAACGAGGTTGTTACGTTTTTAGACTCTTCGCCAAGATTGACATATTGTACAACAGTTGCTGTTTCCATGCCCGGGAGAGAACTCTTGTATCATTGCCTTACCGTGTCCTTACAAGCACGATCAATCGAATTCTACTTTGCAGCGCTGTGACTTGTGAGGACGTGCGAAGTAGAACCAATAGCACAGTGGTCACTCGATGCACCGACTTGGTTGAATGTGTCAAGTTTGCGCAGTTAGAAAATTGTTGCTGACACGTCTTGTTGCCCCTTCTGACTTGAAACTTGCGTACGACGAAAAGGAAGTCAAAGGTGACTCTTCAGTGACACAAATCAGCTCACTTGATACACATGGGTTTCATTTGTTTCTAGATTTCCTGGAATTTGGAGATCCACAAGTGTTGGGAGCTCCGCTACATCTGCTTGGTCCAGCACCGCATATTTCGTCAACTCAAGGTGCAAGTGCCACATGGAAAAGTCCTGCACGGAAGCTCCACCACAGTGTCGCATGGCCGAGGGAACCGGTCGACCATGAACCAATGTTTGACCATTTAATGGGATATATGATATATGGTGTGTATATATATAATTATATATATATATTTATAACCATCAACAACAGGGATTTATTGGGATTTAATGGTGATACAATGGGTATATCACCGGATATAACCATCAACAATAGGGACATTTTCATTGGATTTAATGGGGGATATACAATGATATACAAAAAATCATTGTGATTTGGGGGTGTCTGAAAGTGGGGGTACTCCAAACTTATGATATTTGTGGGAAAATCATCAGCAACCATCAAATTGCACCCCATTTTCAAAGGATCCCAGCACGCCCAGGTCCTACTTCCATGGTACACTTTCCAGTGACCATAAGAAAGGTAGTGGCGGTGACTGAATGTATGGCACCCAATGTTTTCCAGGTACATGTGCCCATGATGCATCAAAGCGCAGCCTTTTGAATGGTTTCTCTCTTCTAAGGCAGCATAGCAATCTCCAGGGTTGCTTCCGACTGTCATTTGTGAATATATAGTGTGATTATCCTCTGGTAATCAAACATTGCTAGTGGGCAATTCCCTTAGTTCGATGATTTCCCTATATTTTCCCATTCCAATGCCCATGAATTCATGAATCGTTCGGGGATTTCCCCGTGGAATTCTCCGAGGTCGTGTCCAGCTGGCTACAATGGCACCGTAACTTTTGCTTGCAACGACGACGTCCTCTCACTGAACCGCGGGAAATGTGGAGCGCGCTGTGATGCGGGCGCATATGAGTTGATGAATGACCTTTCTTTGGATTATCCGGATGCCGGATTGCATTGGAAATGCAAAAAGGTGTGTCAAACTGAGTGACAATGGTTGAACCATGTGGAATCCACAATTGCTTCGTGGAAAAACAAGTGGAATCAAGTGGAATTCTCCACTCCATGGCTTTCAAATGCCCGGTGTCCAGACGGACATGTTGGGACCTGACGAGACTATGACAGCAGGACATATGCAGCAGCTGTGGTGAAGGGCCAAATATTGTCTTGTGATATACATTTGGAATGAACAAGACAATTGGATAATTGGATAAATCTATATAAATCCGGTATATACAATTGAATCTGATATACTTACGGTTCGTAGGATACTTGGATATTCCTCAGACACAAAGACATCGCTAAGGATATGGACGACCGAGAAGAATTGACCATGCAATGCCCCAACCCACTGGCAGGAACGGTGCAGTTCAGGCACGACTCCAAGCTACATGTCATTCGAGGTTTAATGTAGATAATTTATATAGGTTGCAGCCTTTAGGAGAACCAGCTATAATTTTTGGCTTCTCCTAGAGGCTGCAAAATCCGTTGACATAACATATTTACCTTGTTTGTCATGTGCAGCATTGTGCAGCTGCATTGCTGCTTTGACTTTGATTGAACATTACTGACGTTGGGTGTCAGGTTTTCCCACCTTCACCTGTGGTCAGGTGTCAGGATGGTGTTGTACTACGTCATGTCAACAACTGTCGCAAAGCGCACACCTGTCCTGCGGGTCACTTCTTGCTTGGCCATGCACGGGTCGATCACACTGCCATGGACCATGGAGTTTGGATACAAAAAGAGTGTCCGAGTGGCTTTGAAGGTCGCTGGAGTTCGCAACAAGAACTAAGATCCCTAGTTTTTTTTCCAGTTGGGAAGCCTCGAAGTTCGGAATGTTTGGATGCCGAGTTTGCTTTCATGATGAAAGCGGTGAGAAACTGATGCCAAGGTTCATACTTTTTGCAGTGCGAGGATGGCTCCATGATTGCGAAGCACAACAGCTCGTGTCGTGCCACCTGCACGTCTGCAGGGAGTCTTTGGGTAGATGAGGGTAGAGTGGAGGCCAGGTGCTCAGTGCGGGTACGAATCTCTCAAGATTTTTCCAGGTGGTTTCTTAGAACAGAAAACCAGTGGAATTTCACTTGGGCCCCCCAAAATTGCATAAATTCCAAGCAAATCATCTTCCAATTTGATGATTTTTTTGGGTCTCCCCTTGATCACGGAGCAATGGGTGGTGAATGCCTGGCACTGTGACAGGTGTCCCATGGGAAGATCATCGAAGGTGGCAAGGTGAAGGTTCTCTGTCCAAGCGGGTCCGCGGGTGAAGGCGTCGACTTATCCTGCGAAGGCCTCCAATCTGGTATTTTTGCTGCATATTTTTTGATTGAGAATCGTCAGCATTTTTTTTCCGTAGTTTTTTGGAGCGATCCAATCAGATAATCAGCTAATGATAGTTTTCTTTTGTATTTGGAACAACCCCGAATTGAATATACAAGAGTTTTGTATTAGAATGTGTATTGTGGGCGGTTTGGGAACTGCATTGGCCGACTGTATGTATATGTATATATATATATATAGAGAGTATATATGTATGTATGTATGTGTATATATATACATACATACATTATATATATATATAAATACACAGTGAATATAATATGGATATGTATGTATAAATTAACCCAGCATAGAATCCCAAAAGCAAAGTTTTGCGTTTCCTTTGACGCCAATTTTTGTGTTGACAAGTGAGCCAGCTTAGTTAAGAAAATACCACTCCTTCAATACCACCAAGACACCATCGGAACACTGCCGTGACACCATAGAAACGCCCAAAACATGAGCAAAACGCCCAAAACATCACTGGACACCGTCAAGACACAACGGACACACTACCAAAGTACCACCAAGACACCCGCACAACAGACACCACCAGTTCCCGAAAGGACCTGCAATGGGTTTTTCCCAAAAAGTTGTCATGATGATTTTTCCCCATCACCATCTTCTCGCATCACCATCAACACAACACCGTCACAACAACATCACCATCATCATCACCACCATCATCACCATCACCATCACCATCACCATCATCACCACCACCACCATCATCATCATCATCATCACCATCATCACCATCATCATCATCATCATCACCATCATCACCATCATCATCAACATCATCATCATCATCATCATCATCATCATCATCATCATCATCATCATCATCATCACCATCACCATCACCATCATCATCATCATCATCATCACCACCATCACCATCAGCATCACCGCCATCACCATCACCATCACCATCACCATCACCATCACCATCACCATCACCATCACCATCACCAACACCATCACCATCACCATCACCATCATCACCATCATCACCATCATCATCATCATCATCATCACCATCATCACCATCATCATCATCATCATCATCACCATCATCATCATCATCATCACCACCATCACCATCATCATCACCGCCATCACCATCACCATCACCATCACCATCATCACCATCATCATCATCATCATCACCATCATCGTCATCATCATCGTCATCGTCATTGTCATCGTCATCACCATCACCACCACCATCATCATCATCATCATCATCATCATCATGATCATGATCATGAACAACAGCAACAATAAAAACATCGTCATTTTTTTTATGTTTGGCAAGTTTCAACTTGTGCATCTACAAAATGAGATACACAGGTGTACATGCAGGTATGTAAATATTAATATATCTTATTGACGCAGGTGTTTAGGTGCAGGTGCATAGATGCAGGTACATAGAATCTTCTTTAAACAACTACCACCAAATGAGAATATGCAGGGGTAGTGCGGCAAGTATAAACAAATAAATAAAGGAATATATGTATATATATATATATATTGTGCAGGTGGGGATCAACTTCTAAATAAAATATAAATATGCAGGTGGAAATCAACGTCGCAAAGGCACCTACAACTTCAAAAAGTTTTCTCAATTTTCTCTAAGGGCTGCAGGGCAGCGTGGATTGATGTCCCCGAAACGCAACCCTCTCGAACGAAGTGTCGATCCTCAAAAACTGAGGTGAAATTGCAATGTGGGTTTGAGCCGGGTCAGCCCTTTCCCACGAAATGCGTCTCGATCCTCCAGAACTGCCGAACATGCGATTTTGCCTAGCCCTTCTGTGTTTCGATCGTCAAAACTGCGGCGAAATTACGTTTTTTTTGCGTTTGGATGGTTTTGCCTAGATCTTTTTGCAATCAATGCGTTTCGATCGTTGAAAAAAGAACACGGTGAAATTGACATGTTGTTTGCGCTCGCAAAACCCTTTAGCACAAAATGCGCCTAGATCAAAACGGTGAAATTCTGGTTTTGCACCTGCTTGCTGAACTCTTTCGCGCAGAATTGGTATCCACCACAATCATCTCTGTGTAAAAGTATATGTGTGTAAAAGAGCGTCCGTGTGCGAACGCATCTCCGTGCAAGAAAATTTCTGCGTAAAAGTATCTTTGTGTGAAAATACCTCTGTGTAGAAGCATGCACGTTTAAAGACATCCCTGTGAAAGAGCATGCTTGTGTGCATGTGTGAGAAAACACCTGTATCTAAAAAACCTCACCGTGCAAAAGTATTTGTGCGTAAAAAACCTGTCAGTGTGTGTTAAAGTATGTCTGTGTAAAAGTACTTGCGTGTAAAAGAATCTCCGCCCAAAAGAGCTTGTATGTAACAGCACTGCGTAAACGTATTAGTGTGTGTGTGTAAAAACAACTGTGTGTAAGAACACCTCTGTGTAAAGGCACCTGTGTTTAAACGTGCCTGCGTCCAAAAGTTTCTCTTTGCAAAATCACCGCTGTGTAAAAGTATTTGCGTCCTAAAGCGCCTGTGTGTAGAGGCATCTCTGTGTTGAAGGCATCTCTGTGTAAGAGCACCTGCGTGTAGAAGCATCCCTTTGTAAAATAATTTCTCTTTTTAAACCATCTCTGTGCGAAGGCCCCTCCCTGTGTAAGAGCACTTGTGCGCAGAAGCATCTCCCTGCAAAAGCCTGATTTGTGTGTAAACGTACAGGTGGGATTGGATGGCAGCCTGAGTCCAAAATGGCTTGAACCCTCCCGTAAATCGTGTGTCCAGCCTCACCCATGCAAAAGTTCCTCTGCCTAGAAGCGTCCTAGTCCAAAAACGCCTGTGTGTAAAAGCATCTCTGTGTAAAAGTATCCGTGCAAAACACCTCTTTGTAAAAATATCTTGGGGAATCTTGGGGATATCTGTGTGCAAAAAACGCCTCTGTATACATGTATTTGTGTGTAAATACATCTCCGCGTAAAAGTATTTGTGTAAAAGCTTATCTGTGTAAAGGATACTCTGTGTCAAAAGGCTTCCTGCGTACAAGCGCATGTGTGTAAAAACTCCTCTGTGTAAAAGCAATGCTGTGTAAAGGCATAGGGGGTAGTTGCGCGTAAAATCATCTCCGCGTAAAAGCTTCTGTATGTGTAAACGTCTGTGTGTAAAAGCATGTCTTTGTGAAAATAAAAGCACCCGTGTATAAAAGCATCCCTGTGTATTAGCATCCCTCTGTGTAAAAGCGTCTGTGTGCACTATTTTGGTCATGTGGTGTTAGAATCTCTAGGCCGCAAAATATTTGCGCAAATTGCTCGGTATTTGCAGCATTTGCAGCTAGGACCTGTGCACTGCATGGCATTATTAAACATTAGTTCATTGCGTGAAACTTTGCCATCCCACAATTCTTGCAGCAGCACGAAGCTAACAGCTGCAAATTGCATCATGCTTGCATGATTTGGAATCATATCTGAAAACTGCGCTGTGATTTTACACCTTTCAGAATCAAAAAACACTTGCACAGTATGTGCAACATACTGGGGCAAAATGCATTGCATCGCAAAGTGTCTGAAATATTATATTGCAACTACAGTATCACTTTCAAACCGCATGGCATGCGCAGCATTTTGAAATTGACTTCTGTAAGTTGGATGCTACTTTGCGGCTTGCTGAAGCTCGAAGCTGCAAGTGGAATGGTATTTGCAACATGTTGGAATTATCATCTGCACATTGCACATACTGCATGGTGTTTGTAGCGCGTTCCGCTAAAATCGGTAAATTGCACAGCGCTTACAACATTGTGAAACCAACGTTTGTAAATTGCGCGGAGCTTGCAGCTGTTTGAAAGCAACATGTGTAAATTGGAAGGTGCACGCAGCATCTTGAAGCTAGGCCGTTGTTTCTTGCTTCCTGTCGCCCTTCCTTCATTTCAGACTTTTTGTGGGGGTTGGTGTGATGATTTTGTAGTGATGAAATGGGTACATGTTGTGATTTTGTAGATGCCACCATTTTCCTCAACCTGTGCTCCCCTAATTTAAGACTATAAAATCCCAGCACCCAAGTTGCACCCCCCAATTCACAGGGGGATCACATATATATATATATATAATATTGATATATCCTTTTTTATATTTCGGAGTTCCTAAGCCTCTAGGATGAAGGGGTTTCGAAATAGTTTTTTATATTTTTTTAACGATTTGGATACGATTTCCATTTATGTTTTTTCTTTTCAAATTGTGGTTATTGGTTGTCGATATGGTTTTGGGTACGACTGGAAAATGACCTTATGTTTTTTTAGGTTTTGAATATGAATTCTTTGCTGTATGGTTTTGGATACGATTTTTTTTGGTTTGGATATGGTTTTGGGTATTTTTTTTGTTTTGATTTGGTTTAGGATAGACCTAGGACCTGGGTTGGGACAGTGGTAGGACCTTGTGGGATGGAGGGTGCCTATCGTAAAAAAACGTAAATTTCTCGGGTTTTTGGATAAAAACAATATTCTGGGGAACTTGGTTGCATTTATGATTTTTTTTTCGATTTTGGCTCCAAATCAGGTTCTGGTCGTGGATGGGACATGGAAACGCAAAATTTCGAAAATTTCTCAAACTTTTGGCGAAAAAACGATTCTAGGGACTTTGCTGGCATTTATACGTTTCTTTTTGGATTTTTGTACCGTTCCTTACCAAAATCGCAAAAACATCGTAAATTTCTCGAGTCTTTGGCTAAACACCAGATTCTGGGAACCTTGGTTGCATGTACGACTTGCTTATGTTTTTTCTTAACGATTTTGCTTCAAATCAGGTTTGCGGTGGTGGAAAGGCTTCTGGGAAAAGGAACCACTCCCAAAATTGTAAAAAATCGCAACAAATGAAAATTTATCGAGTTTTTGATTAAAAAAAACGGATTTAAGGGATTTTGGTGGCATTTACGTTTTTTTTACGATTTTGGTACGGTTCCCTACCAAAATCCTAAAAAAATCGTAAATTTCTCGAGTTTTTGTCTAAAAACTAGATTCTGAGAACCTTGGTGGCATTTACGATCTGTTTACGTTTTTTTTAAACGATTTTGCTTTAAATCAGGTTGTGGTGGTGGAAAAAGGATTCTGGGAAAGGGAACCCTTACCAAAATCGATCGAAATCAAAAATCATATCCAAAACCATAAAAAAACGCATTCAAACCCAGAAAAAACACCTAAAAAAAATCCCACCCATAAAAGATCAATTTTCAAAACCATAAAAACATAATTTGTTTTCCCATTCATAGAACATCATATCTGCAAATCATAAAAACCATCATATTGACATCGTGAAAAAAACGCCAAAAAAGGTATCCTAGAGGATTAAAAACATCTGAATATTAAATACTATAGATATTATAAAAAATATTGTATAGATATTGTACAGATATTATATAGACAGTATATCATATATCTTTATATATATTATACCGATGTTATATATATATATGATATGATATGATATGATATTATGTTATGTTATATTATATTATATCATATTATATCATATTATATTATATTATATCATATTGTATTATATTATATCATATTATATTATATTATATTAAATTATTATATTATATTTTATTATGTTATATTATATTATATTATGTTATACTATATTATATGTACATATTACAGAGTATATAGATAGTATATAGACATTATATAGATATTTTATAGAAATTATATAGATATTATTTAGATATTATATGGATATTATTTAGATACTATATGGATATTATTTAGATATTATATGGATATTATATAGATATATCTATATAATATATATTATATAGATATTTTATTTAGATATTTTATTTAGATATTGTATAGAGATTATATAGATATTTTTTTAGATATTATATAGATAGTTTCTAAATACTATACCGGTTATAGATATATTGTAGATATTACATATATATATATTGTGTCGATATCATATAGATAATATATAGATATATACATAGTAATTATATACATAGTATATACATATTATCTAGATATTATGTAGATATTATATAGATATTATATAGATATTCTATAGATATTATATAGATATTATATAGATATTAGATAGATATTATACCTATAGACGTGATATAGATATTATATATAATTATTATATGTATAGATATATATTTTGTTGTGGGATTCATGTGCAGGTGGGTATATCGACGTCACAAATGGGACGTGCAATCGGTCCTTCTTTTGCCTACCTGGATACGTCTCTTCGAACAATGCCAGTGTGTACCACGACAAGCTCGATAATTCTGAAAATATCGTGCCTGGACAAAGCTTCAGCAGTGGTGTCGATCTGGTGGATAGTGAGAATTTGACGAAATGTTTGAGATATTTTTGGTTAAAGTGCACTAGTCTAGTCAAAGTACAACGCCTCGTCAGGTTTTGGCGTGTCCGGAGGGTTACTCGGGTTCTCTGGATGTGGCCTGCAACAAGGGGGAGGTTTCCATCCTGGAGACAGCCAGCACTCAGTGCCACAAGATCTGCCCTGCTGGAGTGGTGACTCTGGATGGAATCGAAATTGCGCACGGAGACTTGGAGCATACTCAAAAAGTAGAGCTGGAGTGCCCTGAGCACTATACAGGCTGGAAACATTTGGGACATGATGAGATGCTACTTCTGGGTTATTTTTGAAGTTAATCATATCTATTAATACACACTAAACTGCTGCTTACCCCAAGTTGCGGGTAGTTTTGCCATTTCATAATTACGACCTCTCATTGTAGGGAATGCGCGATAGTCCCAGACGTGAGGACAGCCATTTGGAACAATTGTTAAAGTAGACTTTTTGGATATCTCACCTTTCAAATATTTTCAAATACCATCATCTAGGTTTGGCTCAAAACTATTGACCCCCAAACTGGCTGGTTTGATACAAAAAAAAATTATGCACTGAATATGGTCATGCCGCCATGCCTGATCCGCATCCCGGGAGGTCGTTTGCCTTTCGTTTGCGTCGAGGGCAATGTGACCTGTGTGGATTGCTCTTGCATACCAACCGAACAGGTTACAGGGAATGCCGGGGCGCTGTCGACCGATCTTCCAATCGCTGCACTGGCTGCTGGTGTTACCGTACCATGGCGAAGAAACAACGGGGATTTATATCATATGATTTAATTACTGGTGATGGGTCAAAAGCGATGTTTTGCATATTCTGAATAATTCGGTATGTGGGGAATGCACATCCACAATCATCCATATCTACAAACCACTTTGTGAAAACCAGGGTACCAAGGATTTTTTCTGACTGACTAATTCGTTTTTTTGCTCTGAGCATGTGAATTCATGTGAATGTGTTTATATAATATAGGTAGTTCAAAGTGGTAGGCTTGCTCAACATTTATGCTATGCATCATGCAGTTGGTGGAAGACCAATGGACCCTCAAACGGCTTTGTTTTTGCCAAGGTAGATCCACTAATGATCATGTATAGATATTTAGGCATACGGGCATACGGTAGATTCATACAAGTAAGTGCCGTGTTTGTTTTGCTGAACTGCCGTCAAATCATTGATACTGGCTAGCACTAGAGTCACTTCAGTCACTTTCAAGCCTCCCTCCCACTTTCAGATCTTTCAGGCAGCAGTTCTTATAATTCTATTTGGCTTCGGTCTTTTGAGACATCGTATGTTAAAGCGGAGGGCTATGGCAGCAGCTGTGGCTGTAGCCGTGGGTGACATCCCGGCTCCTCCCTCCTCATCATGCCTGGATATCCTGCCAAAGACAGGAGCGGCGGCCAAGTTTCTGGATGTTCCACCCGGAAGCCAAAGGTTTGTACATGACCTGTATTGTACATTTTTGTAGTGGTGCAAGTTGTAAACTTTTTATTGTCAGTGGATGGTTTTGATGTTTTGCGTCGGTGGGCGTTGTTTTGTTTCCACCGGGGAAGTCGCCAGGATCCAGGTCGGGTCATTCCGCCAGCTCTTTGCCGACGGGATCGACAGGGAAAGCCTCAGCGACCACATATCCAGCCCGTGGGGATACGGATTTCTTGGAGCTGGTCATAGACGCCGCTTTGCCCTTGCCCCTCTACTGGGCCACCAGAGATGGGGTCCACATCTTTCCAGACCCCAATCGAATCGCAGAGATTCAACGACTTATGACTGACACTTGGCCTATGATGTCACTGGTATCTGTTGTCGCCTTGATCCCAGTTGAACCAGTTGAATTGATGGCCTTGTCGTGGTTGATCAATCGTTCCAATCAACATGGATGTGGAATCCAGATTCATGCAAAATATCCCCATATATCCCCATCTTCGGACAAACCCATACCAAGAAACCTCAACATTCGCCTCAAAGATCTGGATAGATTATTTCTTATACTGCGGGATGATGATGAATCATCCACTAAGTAAGTATATCACATTTCAAACATTTCTACATGACTATATCTTTCATTGACCAAACACACCGCGCAAAACTTA